TAAATGTTGGTTCTTTGAAAAAATAAATAAGATTGATAGACCACTAGCCACGCTAACAAAGAGAAGAAAAGAGAGAACCCAAATTACTAGCTTACGGGATGAAAAAGGCAACATCACAACAGACAATTCAGAAATACAGAAGATAATTAGAAATTATTTTGAAACCCTATACTCTAATAAAATAGAAAATAGTGAAGGCATCGACAAATTCCTTAAGACATATGAACTACCCAGATTGAGTCAGGATGATATAAACAACCTAAACAGACCAATATCAAGTAAGGAAATAGAAGAAGCCATCAAAAGAATACCAAGGAAGAAAAGCCCAGGACCGGATGGATATACAGCAGAGTTTTACAAGAACTTTAAAGAAGAACTAATACCAATACTCTACAATCTATTTCAGGAGATAGAAAAAGAGGGAGAACTTCCAAATTCATTCTGAGGCCAATATCACTCTGATTCCCAAACCAGATAAAGACACCTCAAAGAAAGAAAACTACAGACCAATATCCCTAATGAATTTAGATGCAAAAATCCTCAATAAAATTCTGGCAAATCGGATACAAAAACATATCAAAAAGATCGTGCACCATGATCAAGTAGGATTCATCCCTGGGAAGCAAGGCTGGTTCAATATCCGGAAATCAATAAACGTTATTCACCACATCAATAGACTTAAAGATAAGAACCATATGATCATCTCGATAGATGCAGAAAAAGCAGTCAACAAAGTACAGCATCCCTTTATGTTCAAAACACTAGAAAAACTAGGGATAACAGGAACTTACCTCAACATTGTAAAAGCCATATATGCTAAGCCTCAGGCTAGGATCATTCTAAATGGAGAAAAACTGAAGGCATTCCCTCTAAAATCTGGAACAAGACAGGGATGCCCTCTATCACCACTTCTATTCAATATAGTTCTCGAAATACTGGCCAGAGCAATTAGACAGACAAAAGAAATTAAAGGCATTAAGATAGGAAAAGAAGAACTTAAATTATCACTATTTGCAGTGACATGATTCTATACCTAGCAGACCCAAAAGGGTCTACAAAGAAACTACTAGAGCTAATAAATGAATTCAGCAAAGTAGCAGGATATAAAATCAACACGCATAAATCAAAGGCATTCCTGTATATCAGCGACAAATCTTCTGAACTGGAAATGAGGAAAACCACCCCATTCACAATATCCTCAAAAAAAATAAAATACTTGGGAATCAACCTAACAAAAGAGGTAAAAGATTTATACAATGAAAACTACAGAACCCTAAAGAGAGAAATAGAAGAAGATCTTAGAAGATGGAAAAATATACCCTGTTCATGGATAGGCAGAACTAACATCATCAAAATGGCCATATTACCAAAAGTTCTCTATAGGTTCAATGTAATGCCAATCAAAATCCCAACGGCATTTCTTGTAGAAATAGATAAAGCAATCACGAAATTAATATGGAAAAATAAAAGACCCAGAATAGCAAAAGCAATTCTAACCAGGAAGCGTGAATCAGGAGATACAGAGATACCAGATTTCAAACTGTACTACAGAGCAATAGTAACAAAAACAGCATGGTACTGGTACCAAAACAGGCAGGTGGACCAATGGTACAGAATAGAGGACACAGAAACCAATCCACAAAATTACAACTATCTTATATTCGATAAATGTTGAGAGCCACAGCCGAAGGGGCCCCAGCAAACTTATAGAAGCTATAAATTTTCATAAAAAGTTCCATGTCAATGCTAATACTTTACAAAAGCGTTTTAAAATAACTAAGGAACAAGCTAGACAAATAATAAAACAATGTCAAAATTGTGTGACCTTTTTACCACAAGTTAATCTTGGAGTCAATCCTAGAGGATTGATACCTAACCATATTTGGCAGATGGACGTCACACACTTGCCAGAATTTGGAAAATTAAAATATTTGCATGTTACAGTTGATACTTCTTCTGGATTTTTGATGGGCTCCCTTCATGCCGGAGAAAAAACTAAAGATGTTATAGCTCATTGCTTACAAAATTTTGCCACTGTGGGCGTTCCAAAACAGTTAAAAACAGATAATGCCCCTGTTATACTTCTACCTCTTTTAAACAATTTTGCTCAACATTTGGCATTACTCATATAACAGGAATCCCATACAATCCACAGGGACAAGGCATAGTTGAAAGAGCTCATCAAACTATTAAAATGTACTTATTAAAGCAAAAAGAAGGAATTGGGAAGGGGTATATATTCCCCAAAGATAAACTTAAAATAACCCTTTTTACTCTAAACTTTTTAAATTTGGATTCATCAGGACTTAGTGCTGCGGAAAGGCATATGTGTCCAAAAAATGTACATAAGCCCAAGGTACTTTGGAAGGATATTCTAACAGGACAATGGAAAGGTCCTGACCCAGTAATTGTCTGGAGTCGGGGGTCTGTTTGTGTGTTTCCACAGGGAGAACAGCAGCCGATTTGGATTCCAGAAAGATTAACTAAAGCGATTTCTACAGACCAAAAAGAAGATGATTTGGCTCAAATCCATAACAACTGACATCCAAAACTCCAGTTTGGCTATTCTTACATCTGCAACAGAACCAGGATGCTTTTTTCAATATCTATTTTATTATTGCCCTTTGCCATATCATGAAGTTCTATTTTGTTTTTTGAGCTCATACAGACCTAGGTTAATGTTTTGCTGATCAGTTCTATTTTTTGACTATAGAGTTTTTAAACATTGCAATGGAGATTTCACCTGTAAAAAGTTATAAGGCCTTTACTATAATGTTATGTGTTGTATGTATTATATTATGTGTGCACACTTGTGTTTTGTGTTATATGTTTGAATGTACGTATGTCCATATATCATATATGATGAGCGCTCATGATAAAATGGATCCAAATATTTTTTTTTTCACGTGATTTATATGGTTTAATTTAAATTGGGTAAACAACTGTTGAGGATTGTTTTAATATGTAAACAAAAAAGAAGGTTAACAGATCTGTTTGTTTACTTTCACCTTTCCTTTTCATTATATTTAATAATTCTCTTAAAGATAATGTAAATTGTTAAGAAAATTGTTTTCTTTTAGTGCCTTCTGTAATGTTACATAATTTTTTCTTTAGCCATTATTGCCAGAATTCCTATCTTCATCCCAGTGCTGGTGAAGTCAAAGATAAAACCAATCTACAGCTTCTACAATAGCCATCACTGAACTGCTTGCAGAACTTGCCTGGACACATTGTGAGCTCACCTGTATGCATTGTGAACTATCTGTTGGTGCAGCGACTTGTGGTAGTGTTGGGGTATTTTTGCTGATGATGTCATTGGTGGTACAATTTTTCCAAAAGGAGCCGTCAATTGGCTTGGTGTATCTTCCTCCCTTCTGCTTGTCATGATCGTCTAGCTAAAATTTGGGGGCCAACAGAGGTGAGGCAAAGAACCTCACCCCCCCGCTGGTACAAAGACCTCTCCACAGGTGTGGCTGTATACTGGACCGGTAGTCAGTGACGGGTAAGATCCAATTGCAATGGTACCAACCTAAGGACCATATGTACTATTGGACAACCTAAGGCAGGCACGGTCCCTAAGCCACATGCTTGTTGTTTAAACAGAGAGGGGAGATGTTGAGAGCCACAGCCGAAGGGGCCCCAGCAAACTTCCAGCTGCCAGCAAACTTCCAGCTGCCGGCTGATGACTGGCTCACAGCGGCCCCAGCAACATCTAGCTGATTGGCTCCTCTGCGGTGATGCTCATTGGGCTGTTTCCCTGCCCTTTCAGACCACGGAGCTGCTCATTGGGGGACTTTTTTGGCTCCGCCCACGTGACCCAGCCAATCGGCCTCAAGAGCAGGAGGATTGTGGGAGGTGGAGAGAAGCTTGTGTGGGAGAGAGAGGCTTGTGGAAAGCCGGTGGTGGCAGTTGGGCTCTGAGGGTTTTTCCTGAGAGGCTGTTTTGTTTGGCGTGTGTGGTTCTAAAAATAAAGTTAGTTTCTTTTGACAAGTGGCTCCTGATTGTGCCCAGCCAGACTGCGGCACACAAGCAAGTTACTACCTCAGATTAGAAAAAGACATGTAAATTAGCTCATGCTCCATAGGTCACTTCAGGGCATGTTCAAGCAATGATGTATGTTAACTAGCACCATTCTAAAAAAAAATGTGGTCCTGAATCTGTATGTTTGTATCAATACCAAACTCTCATATAAGCAGGACTAACAAGTATGATACACTGCACAGAATGATCAATTAATAAATGATAATGAATTATTCACAAAAAGTTATAACATAACCATGTGTTAATCATTAATACAGAAGAAATATGCATAAATAAAGTTATCTCTTTTAGTCAATAACCTATATTCCCAGATAATTAAAAATTCCTACTTTAAAGAAATACAATCATTCTAGAATTAGATTATTCTTTCATTATAACTCTCAATATTATTTCCTAGCTCAAAACTATGGGATTTAAAAAAAAGGAAGGCCCACACACTATTGAGGTATCTTTTTTAAGAAAGCTAAGCTGGGAATGTGAATGTAATATCAATTCCATGAGAATTTTATGGCAGGAAAGAAGTATCTAAATGAAACACTGTAAGATTATAAGGAAGCCCCTTCTAATCACAAAATGAAAGCTACATGATACAAATAAACTTATGTCATTTTAGTGAAGAAGATATGTCAAAAGTAATTAACCTCTACTTTCCCCCATAACTAGAATGTCAAGTTGCAAGATAAAAATGATCGCTAAATTTTATAAATTACACAACTGCATCTGTGAGCAAGTTATTCTTTTTCCTTTATAGAATAATTTTTAATAATGAATTGTAATTACTAAAATATTTAAAAACAAATTTTGATATAGATTAACAAAGCAAACCAAAATTAATTTTGTATGTGGTAATATTACTATATTAATCAAACCAAAAAAAAAAAGTACCTAATAGAAAAACCAAAGTTAAGCTTAGGTAACACATTTGTTCCTCCAGTTTAACTATAAATTTGTTTTAGTTTCTAATAAATGGTGTCTTTATCTCCATCAATATCTGTCTGAGTTCCCTCTACTATCCCCTGCTTTAGATGAAAAAGAAATTAAAGTTCAAGGATAAACATAAGCTTCCATTATTTTGTGACCATTATCCAAATACATACTTATCAGAGAATCACAAAGACAGATAAAACTAGCATTTACAACCACCTACCTTAAGGATTTATTTTCTTAAGAAAGCACAGTTTCACATAACACTGTCAAATTGCTTTTGCTACAGTAATGTGTACATGCCTACCTACATATCTTTATAACATATTAGTATTCTGACATAAATTTCAATTCAATTCCTTATAAATACAACTGGTATTATAGAAAGATAGCCTTCTAAAGTATCATGTGAAAGCAACTGTTCATAATACAAAAGAAAAAAGAAAATACATAGCAACCAACCAGCTTTAACTTATTTTTCTGAATGATATCTTTGTTTTCCTTCTGGTATAGTTCCATTTTCTTTTTGGTGTTTTCCAAATCCACATTGTTGGTCAAGTTGAAAACTGAATCAGAAAGAAAACAATGTCATGAAGTGCAGTTTTAATGTAAATCTTGAGTAGATAATAAAAAACAAATATTCACCATAGTGACTTTTTAATTCATTGAGTTATCATTTCTTTATAGCACTATTTATATCCTGATCCTATTATAGAGACTATCTCTAGTTAGCAACTATAAGGGTTTTTTGTTGTTGTTGTTTGCTTGATTCGTTTCATTTTGTTTGTTTGTTTATTTTGGTACCAGGAACTGAACCTAGGGGCACTTTACCACTGATCTACATCCGTAGCCCTTTTTGAGATATGGTTTAAGTTCATTAAATTGCTGATTCTGGCTTTGAACTTTCAATCCTCCTCCCAAGTTTCTGGGATTACAGCCATGTACCACCATGCCTGGTGGCTACTATGTTTTCTTAGCCAAATATACAGACTGTCAGACTACAGCACAAAATATCTAAATATAAGAATCAGTCCAAAAAACCAAAGTAAATATTTGCTATAATCACATTAGATTTTATAAAAATAAAATCTAATGTGATTATAAACTTAAAAGCATATAAAGGATTGCCATTTTTTAAAAAATAAAAAAAGTAAGTCTAGGATCTATTATACTGATGAGATTAATACTGAAAAGAATCTGTGCCTCAAAATTTAGAAAAATTGCCCAAAGAAGTTTCAAAAATCATATATTTGTATAACTTATATCAAACAAAAAATCAGCTTTTATTCACTTTGCAATTGTCTCCAATATGGCTAGGCTCAAGTTTTAATTATTTCTCACGTAATCTTAATCTAGAGAGTATAAAACAGAAAGGAGTTGAAATTTAAAAGGGAAAGCAAAGGATAAAACTGGCACAAAACTTAGACTAAACACAAAAAACTATACCAAAAAAAAAAAAAAATCAAGAAATGGGCAAAAGAACTAAATAGACATTTCTCAAAAAAAAAAAAAAAAAAGAGAGAGAGAGAGAGAGATACAAATGGCCAACAAATTATAAAACCATGTCCAACATCCCTAGCAATCAGGGAAATGCAAGTCAAAACTACACTCCAGTCAGAATGGCAATTATCAAGAACATATATAATAATAAAGCTGATGAGGATGTGGGAAGAAAGGTATACTCATACACTGTTGGTGGAACTGCAAATCAGTGCAAACACTTTGGAAAGCAGTATGGAGATTCTCAAAAGACTGCGAATAGAACCACCACATGGCTCAACTACCCCACTCCTTGATATTTACCAGCATACTCTAGTAATACAGCCACATCACTGTTTATAGCAGTGCAACTCACAATAGTCACATTATAGAACCAGCCAGGTGCACATCAACAGATAAAGGGATAAAGAAAATGAGGTATATATACACAAAGAAGTTTTATTCCACTATAAAGAATGAAATTATAGCATTTGCTGGTAAATGGATGGAACTGGAGAATATCATGCTAAATGAAATAAACCAGACTCAGAAAGTCAAGGGTCTAATATTTTCTCTCATATGTAGATGATAGGGCAAAATAAGGGTGAAGAAGGGAGAACAACACTACAAAAATGGGAGACCAGTGGAATGGACCAAATTATGCTGTGTCCATGTGTCAATGTACCACAGTGAATTCCACCTTTAGGTACCCCATAAAGTACTAACATATAAAACCAATAAACAGATGGGAGGGAAGGCCAGTGGAGCAGAGGAAAGGGGGACAGGGAGGGGAGGAAGAGAGAAGGTACCAGAGACTAAAATGGAACAAATTATGATTCTGTCAAAATGAACCCCATTATTACGTATAGCTATAGTGCACTAATAAAAACATTTTTAAGTTGAAGTATTTCCTTAAGAGAAGCCACTGATGCATGTTTAGACATTGCTAAATTTTAAGTGAGTTAGAACTATCTTTTTATAATTTCAACTCCAAATAATCTAAATTATAAATCTCATACTGCCTCCTTAATTTACACACACAGTCAAAAAGTTACTATAATGCTCTAAACCAAAACAAACAAACCTGCCTTAGCACACATATGAACTTATATGAAGGGTACCATCCCAACATCCCACCCCTGAAAGAATCCATATCATTAAGACTATCCAGTTTCAAAATTCAATTCATACCTCCCTCAGCTTCCCCTGTAATCTTTCTCTACCCATTATAAGTGTGTCTACCCATTCTCCAATTTAATCACCATTGCTTCCTGCTTCTAATCCTACCAACAAGATGGAAAATTCTGCTCAATCCCCTTTGTTTCTATAGACTCTTTCTCATCTCACTCTTTCCTTGAAAGTCATACTGGAAGATCAATATAGAGTCATCTGTTTTGTTGAGTATGGTCATAAACAGACTCAAAAAGACCAATTTAATCCATAAAAATATAATTGCCACCTCAAAAAGCCCACTTATTTCAGAATACCAATTTATCATAATCATTGTTAAAAATCCAGGTTCATTTAGGTATGTAAACAATGGTATACTTATTTTTAATACATAACAATTTTTAAACCAGGCAGGAATTGAGAGATAATGAGCAATAATACCCACTAACCACTTCCCCAACATTTTAAACATGAAGTAGAAAAGAAAACAGTAATGGAGATAAGCCATGGAATCTAGCTAGTATTCAATGTGGGGCATTCCCCATTAATCACACCCCAGGTCCTGACACAAAATGATCAAAGAAGGAAGCTCCAAGAACTACCCTCTGCAAGGTACCATGATCTATTAAATAATATAGTGATTCCACTGTCTGTCGATCACTCACAAAAACTTCCCTTTACATATAATAGGCCATTCTCTGAGCCACGGATCTCCAGATCTCCATCGTACTCAACATCTACCAGATCCAACCAATGTAGCTTCCCTCTCATTTGTTCATTTGAAGGACTTCCTTTTCAAAGTTTTGCTTAAAGAACACACTTTATACAGCAAATATCCATGGACCATATATGACAAGCACTTGACCTAATCACCTCATTTAATCCTCCTAACAACCTTATAAGATATGTTCTGATGTTATTTACACTTTACAAATAAAGTTTAAAGATATTTTAAAAACAAACAACTTTACAGCCAGTTAATGTGGGAACCAGGATTTTAGTGTAGTCAGATTCCAAAACCTAAATTTTTATTTATAACACTTCTCTAAATGCAAACCATGACTAGTCCAGTTCAGCATTCCTCTGCATCTGTATCTCCATATTTCTGTATCTGTACTCAAACCATTCCCTCCATCCAAAGGGGACATTTTAGTATTAATCTCAATCTGAAACGACTATGAATATCCAGATTTGACTGACCTTTATATACCCAGCCTAGTCTCCAGCTATTCCTCAAATTCACTGTGCAGTTACTCTCTTTCCATACCCAAATTATTGGAATTAATAACAACACATTACCTAATTTCAGTCTGATGGCACATGTTCACATTCTACCTTGTATAATTGTTTTCAATGTATATTATCTTGTGTGACCTATTAGAATGTTCCTAGAGGGCAGATTCTAGCCCTGACTTACATTTACTACCACTCCTTCAATTTCTACTATATTCCAATTGGAATGGCAAATATCTAATTCAAAATAATAAAAGCTGGTAGTATGTGGGACAACAGAAACTCTCATTAATTACTGGTGATAATGTAAAATGATATTGCCACTCTGATAGGTTTTATTTATTTTTTTAATATTCTTCTAGTTGTAGATGGACACGATGCCTTTAATTTATTTGTTTATTTTTATATGGTGCTGAGGATCAGACCCAGTGCCTCACAAGGGCTGGGCAAGCTCTATATCACTGAGCCACAACCCCAGCCCAGCAGGTTTTCTTTTTATAAACCTAAATAAATACAGATATCTCATACTAGATAAAGGTACCAAAAACATACATTGGAGAAAAGATAGCCTCTTCAACAGATTGGGAGAAATCTTTACCATGCACACATCAGACAGACCACTAATTTCCAAGATATATAAAAAACTCAAAAACAACACCTAAAAAAAACAACAAATAACCCAATCAATAATGGGCTAAGGAACTAAAACGACACTTCACAGAAGAGGATATACATTCCAATCAAAAACTATATGAAAAAATGTTCAACATCTCTAGCAACTAAAGAAACACAAAACTAAGATTTCATCTCATTCCAGTCAAAATTGCAATTATCAAGAATACAAACAACAGGGCTGGGGTTGTGGCTCAATGGTAAAGCACTTGCCTAGCATGTGTGGGGCATTGTGTTTGATTCTCAGCACTGCATATAAATAAATAAAATAAAATCCATTGACCACTAAAAAATATTTTTAAAAAAATACAAGCACAATAAATGTTGGCAAGGATGTGGGGTAAAGGGTACACACATACATTGCTAGTGGGGGTAAAAATTGATGCAACCACTCTGGAAAGCAGTATGAAGATTCCTTAGAAAACTTGGAACAAAACCACCATTTGACCCAGCTATCCCAGTCCTCAGTTTATACCCAAAGGACCTAAAATCAACATACTACAGTGACACAGCCACATCAATGTATATAGCAGCTCAATTCACAATAGCTAAACTATGGAACCAATCTCGATGCCTTTCAACAGGTAAATGGATAAAGAAAATGAGATGTATATACACAATGTAGTGTTACTCAGACTTAAAGATGAATAAAATTATGGCATTTACAAGTAAACAGATGAAGTTGAGGAATATCTTGCTAAGCAAAATAAGCCAAACCCCAAAAACCAAAGACCAAATGTTTTCTCTGATCAGTGAATGCTAATCCATAATGGGGGTGGGTGGGGAGAGAATGAAGCAACTTTGGATTGGGCAGAGGGGAGAGGAGGGGTATAAGGGTAGAGAGGATAGTGGAAAGAGATGAACATTATATTACCCTATATACATGTATGATTGAAGGAACAGTGTAAGTCTACATCATGTACAGCCAAAGAAATGAGAAGTTATGTTCCTTTGTGTACAATGAGTTGAAATGCATTCTGCTGTCATGGATGACTAATTAGAATTTTTTAAA